GCGGAAGTAGAACAACTATGCACCTTCAGCGAAAGACCGGGGCAGAACCAGAGCTGGCCAGAACTTCACTTGGCTCTAAGATATCTTTATTATCCCCAAAAAAAGGCACTCATACAGTATACTGCTAACATGTACAGATGCTAACATATAACCACATATTGCTTGCACTAGAATACACAGTACTTTATACCATAACTTTATACTCTTTATCATTATTATGTTCAAGATAGAGATTATATACTTGACCTTTGATGCTAGAGTTAAGAGATTTAGTTTTATTTGAATTAGTATAGCTATTGTTCACTTATCTTGTGCCGTGTGCTCCTCATTCCTACTGTTCCACAACTTGTGATGCAAAACTGAAATTAGTATTTTTATATGCACGATAAAACAGGACTACAATTATTAGTTTAAAATACAACAGGGATAAAAGAGTTCTTAAATCTGTTAGTCCTACATTTAGTGAAGCTATGGTTTCAGACGTCCACGGTGCGTCAATGACCACAGGCCGTTGATTTGAACGGGCAGACATCACAGAGACCTGGGGCTTGGTCCTTTTACATATATATTTAAAATCTCCATTTGGTTTAACAACATTTAGCTGCAGCTCTCTCACACTCTTTAATTATGTTCAGTAATAAGATAAATGACTCTATATCTATGTTATGTTTTTGTTATCAGAGAAACATTAGGTGACTTACTACTTACATACAGTACATACATTAAAGTAGTTATAAAACAGACACAGATAGACTTGAAATAGCCATTGAAATTCAAAACGCAGGTCTTTTAATGCACGTTTGTCTGACTCTCTTGTCTCTGGTCCCTTCCTTCTCTTGTAATCTTTACGACAAATTGATTACAATGCTCCACACGCATCGCACGGCCTCCTCCTGTGTGTTAGTGCACAGTTACATATAGTTTAATATATCTGGCCGAGCACCTTTAAATAAGCAGCGTGAGTCGGCCAGGTGATCCGTCTTGAAGCCCCATTACTCCATTGTACATCTTGATAGCCACGGATCGCTCCTAGCTATGTTTAAGCATTAAATAGTGTATTATTATTTCACATAAATCAAGTTGAGATGTGAGAGGGGATTCATAAATTTTGCATTTCTCAGAGACAGTATTTTAAATGCACCGTACAAGCCGTCGCTGCTAGGAATTCGGAGAGTAAAGCAATAGGGCGTGTGCTAGATATACACTACATTATGGGCGAATCGCGGAGGTATATTCCAAACAACATGTAATGCTCTGTAGATTAAGTTTGAGTGCAGGCTAACGCATTCATCACTACGGCGTTTACATAATCAGCAATAGTGACAGCGCACGTGGAGTACATGGGATTGTTATTGTCGTGAATAATGTGGAAACGTGCTAATAAACGTTCATTTATCATCGCGTTTTCACCACGGCTTCTTCTCGGCGACAGAGTGTGTTATCAGTGGTGAGCGGAAAATTCAATTGGCTGTTTTCCCGTCAGCACTTTGGTTCGAGACAAGACGCTGCACTGGATTAATCTCGTTGGAGGCGTTAGGGAAAGTGTAGGAAAGGGAACACTGCTGTAAAAGAATAAATCAGGGCCATGGTTTGACTCCTGGGCGGCCAATCGGGGTAGAATTCTCCCTGAGTCTAAAACAAAATCGGACTAATATACTAGGAAAAAACATTGCTTGTTTTTCCTTCCCTTTAATTGTCCATTTCTGGGTCTGAGTGGCGGGTGGCACTCCGAGCTATACCCCCCAATCTCCTAGCACTGGCTCCTCACTGGTCCTCCTGCAGGTGGTGGGTCAGAGACGACACGGCCTCGACATCTCGCCTCTCAGCAAGAAGCTCCCGAGTTCGAATCCCGGTCGGACCGGGATGGTGGAGTTTGCATGTTCTCCCCGTGTCTGCGTAGGTTTCCTCCGGGTACTCCGGTTTCCCCTACCACTAAAAATATGTACAATAGGTCTGGCATGCGCCTCCTGTACTGGCGACCCCGCTCCTATCTCTGTGTGGAGAGAGAGACAATTGCCCAAAAAAATAACAATTGTAAACCGCTTTGAGACTCAGATCTGCGGTGAAAAGGCGGTGTATAAATAAATAAAGATTAAAGATTAGAAAGATTAGATTGTGCACCTTTTTAAAATATTGCATGCTAGTTAAGGTTACTGGGATGTATGGCCTTATTTGAAACCTTCTCGGATTTGAACTCACAACCATTAGCTCCAAAGATCTACATGGGGAAAAATATCCTTTAGCTTTACAGCGTTGATGTTCATTAATACAAACTGATCAATGAATAAATATAATCAGATAGAAAGGATAAATTAATTGAGGCATTAATTCAATATTTGCTTTTCAGTGGCAGAATTATTTGCAGAACTTCTCTTGCTTCCACTGAAGAACACAGAGAGATGGTGCGTTGCTTAGTGACACAACTGCAGAATAATGGTATCAAACATTGTGGTTTCGCTTTATTTCTTTCATTCTATCAATATTTAAACTTTGCCTTTTAAATGAATTTACTTAAAACATGAGAGTACCAAATGATTTACCCACAATAATGTTTGGATAATGCCACAGCCTACTGTAATTAAAGCTAATTTTCACTTTTCAATGTTGACAATCTTTTAAAAACATGCTTATCTCCAGCTACACTTAATAATTTTATGACCTACAGGCCCGAGGCTTTACCACTGCAACACGGTAGAAAAAAAAATCTCGTAAAAGATGTTGGAAAATGGGAAATTGACTCGATGCCACGGCAGTAAGCTTCAGACTGACGGCTGCAGAAAAATGTCTTTGAACTAGTTTTTGCTTGTTCAGAAAATTGCTCCTGGGTTGATTTTCCTCTGAAGTTGTTCATGACTCAAAATTAAGAAACAAAAGTGAAATGGTCCACTCCCTCCTGTCCGGATTACATCACCTCATGTAGTAAAAGACATTTATTTTAACTTCGTACCAGAGTTTATGATGATGACAGAATGTAGTCATGTGGTTCCATTACATACCCAGTTCCCATCGCCGATAGACTTGTTATTGTTTCTCCTATTGTTCAAGATCAGAATTATAGCCTGATATTAAAGGTGATGTCTGCAACTTCAATTGTATTTCCTTTTGAAAATTATACATGTTTTTGACCTATGACCCCGAGATCTGTATCAAGGATTTTTCATAATCAATATATTAAAAACAGTCGATCCACTTGGAATAAGAATCACCACGAAGGGTTTTCTGGTGGAGAATAGTTAGACCAATGGGGAGGGGACTCAGTTGTCTATCAAGGATTTTAATTCATTGCGTCCAATCAGGAACCCTTGGGGGCGGGTCAATCTGTCTTAAACATTTGGGAAGTAACTGGCCTTCACTTTAAATATATATTGTGTGTTCATTGTCCAATTTTATTCTAATTAGACTGAAAATATGCACAAACAACATGATGATATATTTTACTAATCAATGATTAATAAGTTCTACGGATCTTAAGGATCCCTTTTTATAAATCTCTCTGTTTTGTTCCAGAGAAATCTTGTGTACCCCAGCCTGATGGAGATGTGAACTCAATATTGAAATTTCATTCACATGAGTTTGTGTATTTACAATTTATTTAGAGAATTCGTCTGGCAGCAGAATAAGGTTAACCTTAATCCTAATGCTTGTTGTACTTGAGCACAATGTAAAAGAAAAAGCCAAGAATCTGAATAATTCCCTCCATATCAGAGATACGGTACAGATGTTGTTGTCAGTCCTCACCGTCTCCTTTACAGTAAGAAGACATGTATTGACCTTCATTGTATTTGCATGTATTTGTTTTCTTTTGAGTCCATGGCTGACCTCTTTGTACAAACTGAAGACTCGTCATCCCTCAGTCTCAGTTGATCCCGACAGGACACGTCCCTAAACTGAACAAACATAATGCAGACATGCTTCATTCCTTCTGTCTCTCTCTGCTCACAGGAGACACACAGAGCTTTGTTTGGCCTTATGACAATCACACACCAAATGTGCATCACTGTCTAAGTCTCTTTTCATCTTCAAATGTTCTCTGTGAGGAAAGTGGGCAGCTTAATAAACTTTAAGTCTTCTCAGCTGCCTCTTAATGCTTTCACAGTATCTTTTAATTGAACTGTAATATTTATACTTTTACTTTAAAGTTTGCAATGATGCTGAACCTAAACCACTGACCCCTTGACATTGGAGTGTCATGTCCATTATCTTCTCAAACTAGGCTCAAAGGCTCAAAGTAACCTTTACCTGACTAGTAATTGTATCACTGTTTACCGCCTCCCACAGTCTGGTATTTCAATTTGCTATTTTTTTTTTTTTTTTTTGCATAGTCCTAAATCACACCAGCAGTCGTCTCCAAGGACTTTACAAAATTGTCAATTCGGTGTGAACATAGGAAATGCAGGTGACCAATATCCATAAATGTCAATAAATGCTACGAACATTATGAAATACAAATTTTTACAATGAATACAATTCCTGCTTCAATAAGGCTATTTAATGCACAGAACCAGTTAAATGTTTGTTTTGTACATGTGTAACAATTTATCAACATACTGACTTGGGACAACAGAGTAATTTCCTGCTAATGATCAATAAATCTTTAGATAAATCTAAATCTATAAATCTAATCAATATTTGATATATGAGCGACTGTGCCAGCATGTCTCTTCACAATCTGTGAAAAAGCAGACTTGGATAGTAAATATATTTATTCATGTCATTACTGTAAAGTCGACTGTTATTTTCTCATATGAAGGAACCCAGTTTTTATGTCTTCACAAACGTACACAAAGGGGCGGGGCCAAATAACAGTCTTTTGGTGTGAACTTGTGATAAGAGAAGTGTTGTTAGCGCCGTTCCCACCGCTGCAGTAATGTGCCACTATTGATGTGCAAACGGAAATCTGTTTTTATGTTGACATTTGAATCGTAATCTTTATCGACAAGCCCGTTCACGACCACGCTTCAGCATCGCACTCTGAAGCTGCCTTTTTGCCCTTTGGTGAAATGCTCAGTGCCGTGATCTCATTTAACTTTGATTTCCTCTTTTTTTTCCAGGACCTGATCTTCCTCAGGTCCGATTTCCAAACTATTCCCCAAACTCTGGAGCACAGCGCAGACAAGACACGCAGCGATGACTGTGGGGAGAAGAGAAAACCTGGTGAGTCAACGTTTTACTTCTTCAAATGATTTTAAGAAGGATGCATTCTTACTTTTCTCTTCTCTTCTAAATTCTTTACATTGTGCTTGTCCAGTTATTGTTTTTTACTGTTGCCTAACTGTGTGCTTGTGTGTTTGTGTTTCTACCTGCCTTAGGACAATGGATGCAATTTAGCGTTTGTGCTAATTCCAGCTGTTTGCAGACACATTGATTAATATGTACCGTCCAAAATTCAAATAAATATATATAAATTCATTAAATAAATGTGTGTTTTTCAATCCGAGGAAAGTTAGGCATCATTTATGTTTTTATAAATATGAAAATAGACAATATAATACAGTATATATGCAGATCTACAGGTGATAGGGTTTTATGACTGATAAGTGGTTCATACACACCTGTTGCTATGATACAGCGTGATGCAGATGTACTTTCTTTATAATGAACAGTGGGGACAATTGTGTAAAATTGTGTGTGATTTTGGCACAGGTTGTTTGTTGATTCTGATTCTGTATGATACTATATTGTTATTACAAATTGAGTTAAAGCTTGTGATAAAAATAACAAAAAAATCTTGTCAATCCTTGAAGACAGCAAGCTTTACCTCCTGCCTTTTTTTTTAATTGCAATTTCTGAAACAATGTTCTATTTCACAGTTTGGCTCCATCATGAAAAACGACAGTATTATCAGTATTTTCATGTTTCATCATCTTTATTTTGCAGAAGCCTCAGCACTGAATGTGAAACAGAACCTTCGCCTGCTAAAGTTTGTGTAACAGTTGTCTATGGTTCTCTATTTGCAAGAAACATAACATGGTACTTGAAAACACAGTAAATGTTTTATGTGGACGATTGCAGCTGTTTTATTAGTAAATGAATTGTAAATAAACTCTATATTTATCTGAAGTGTTGTTCTTTGTGTGTGTTTTAAAAAAGGGGTTGCAGTATATTCTGACAAATATAAGACACAAAAAGCAGCCCGGTTTTCATCCATTTCGTAAACATACATTATTAGCACTAGCATAAAAAACAGGTACTAATTTTGGTGAGTATACTGTGGTGAATACATGAACACACACAGGACAGAATTTGACAGTTTTGGGACAATTCTGACTATATCAAAATAACTTGTAAAATTGACAGTATATTCTTCAAAAAAGCATTTAAAAATAATGGTAGCGACAATCAAGTATTTTTTTATAGCAGCGAGGTTTTAATTCATTTGACACACTTTTCCTTTCCCCCCGATCAAAATCAAAATAAATGGTTAAATTGTATAAATTGAAAAAAAAGCCAGAAACAGCTGCTTCCTCAAAACAATTAGCCATTCTTTGCATCATTGTAAAAAAAAAAACTCCCAGCTCGTCGGCCATGTTTGTCCCCCCCCCAATATCATTCATTTGTGTGGGGTGGGTGGGGGGGTTCTGGGGGTGACTGAGGGCTGTTATTGCAGGAGGAAGACTCGTAATCAGTTGCAGATTTCTTCCTGTTTGGTTTGCGTGACCGCGGACAATTACCACTGAACTCTGACTTACAGTTTCACTTCCTGTGCTACCCCAAAGAACTCAGGGCCGAGCACGGACCCGGAGACGACCGAGACACACGGCCAGACATTAGGACATGCTGCTTCTTATTCCATATTTTAACTGATATTCTTGCTAGATAGAAGTATAGTTAGTTTTGTAGTCAATGAATGGAGTTTACGTCAAACAATTTTACACATTATTAAAGGAGTAGGCTGAAGCTAAAATGTATTTATCCTACCCTCATTCCTTAATTTATTAGTAAAGATAAACAATTGAAAACAGCACTTTTTGCACAATATATTAGAATTTTGCACAATCAGACCATACACAAACTCGCCAGAACAATTGTCAATACATCTATAATGAAACACATTATTTCAAAACCTTTCTGTTAGCCAAAAACTATGGATTAATTCAAAATAACTAGTCCTTTTCCTCAACAAATACAAGCCTTCTGTACATTTTAGATCTCCAAAATAGAGGGTATCATGAATGTATTGTTGAAATATAAAGAACAACAGTTACTTGTTGTTATGTAAGTAGACGGACACATAAATAACATTGAAAACCAAAAAGACATGGAGGCTTTTACTGTCCGTCTCGGTTGATATACAACATGATATGAGCTTTACCGCGGAGGAAATGAAAAGGATTTGGGACTTGGACTGGTCTGCGCAGGTAAACACTGCAAAAAGTCATGTCGCAAATGCAATAAAAGATGTTATCCTCTGCATGATTTAACCGTGCTGGTTTCTGCTAAATTGAATCTAACCGTAGGACTAAACAACTGAAAGACAACCATTCAGGCAAACCTGGATTTGCATAAAATCTCTTCTCCAAATCTGCAGAAGTAATTCAATATTCCATGGTACTTCCTGGGAATTTTCCATACTTATTAAAATCAATTTAACTCAAGACTTGCCAGCCCAGTAGTTAGCAATAGCAGTAGGTTGGGGATGTCAATCATTTCTTAAGTCAATGTGTCGGCACTTTTCAAAACAATTTAAAAACACCAATCCTAATAACTTACTATGGTTACACTTCATAAAGACTTGGCCCATGAATTCCCACAGGACGTATCAGTGCTTAAATGTGAATTATGCAACTTTTTATGAGTAAAAAATACATACTTTTGCGTATTTGACCTTGTAGGGACCTAATGGCTGTAATAATGGGCAGTATGGGGACATGATAGTGATATATGGACCAACTCTGACTCCGAAGAGCACAAGGACAGGCCTTCTTCTACACAAGGAGGCAGCATTTCAGATTTCAGAACAGTCTTCCTGAAAATTTGAAACAGGTATCTTCTCTGACAATGTCAAAGCCAGGTTAAAACAGTTTTGTTTAGCTGTGCATACGACTAAAGGATTTTATCATCTCTCTTTTTAAGGCTGCGATTGTGGAGATATTGATCGGATTTGGAATGCTGCAGCTGTCAAAAGCCGTGCATACAGTACAGTGTAAAATGCAGCTGCAGAGAATACCATGCTGAGTGGCAGGAGCAGGACTGAGGTGCTACGGGAAGTCTTCAAATCATCACTAATCACCACACAAGTTTTCTTTTGAATAAATAGAATAAAGGTAGCTGTCATGTTAGTGGTATAATGATCTTGTATGTGATGTTGTTGGAGTTTACACGCAGAGCATTAGAAGCACGCTGTTCATATCAAATTTCACACATACACAAACAGGCCATGAAAGGTGAACCGCATTATAGTGTTTAACCAATGTATGCAAAAATATAAACTTTTTAAAATTGCATTATGCCCCTTTAAATCTAATATTCCAGTTATAGTAATTAAATTATTCTACATTCATAGGCAATTTCATCATTGGCTGAGAGCCGCATTTTCAACGGTTTAACTACTAAAATAATGCAATGTATTCACGGGAAATGTATCACCACTTTTTATCCTAATGCAAACAGCTCAAGAGGCACAGGGCGCAGCAGTTTACAAGCAGAATAAACTGGTTAGAAGCTCTTCGAAGAGACCATAAGCATATTAATGTGAACACCCCAGGATGCTGAGAACGTGCACACACAGACTTCCACAACATGAGGAATGGGCCGTGCACCACCCTGCTTAGTGTGAACTGCAGGCTCCGAGTGGCTAACCTAATCCACGCAGCCTGGGACCCCCACTCCCAGCTCCAGCTCCGTCTCTGGGATCATTTCACAAACACGAGAGGTATTCCTGGAAGAATTGATTGTGTTAGATAGTACATTGATCACACACGCCGCCGCAGGACAGAAGATGGCTTTACAAGCAATAAGATAGGAGACAATTATATTATTTTAGTGAAATAAGACAGAGTACAAGCCGCGTGTGCCAATAGCAGGAGTGCAGAGGGGGTTGGATCCTCAAGTGGCAAGTATAATCCACTAAACTTTCCTCCACCCTCAATGCAATCACCATGCGAAGGCTCAACCCAGTGATTGCGTTCATTTGTAAAAAGCATCCAAGCTAAAATTGAGGCCCTGGGCTGATAAACTATAAAGATGCTGATCAGATCGCGGCTAAGGAGAGCTCACTGGAGGGCAGGAGGTGTCACGGCCGCAGCCAAAAGACCAATGACTCTGTGCGCCTCAGTCCGGGAGCGAGGGCCGCCGCGGCATACAAACAAGTGCAACTGCAACATGGGAGCAGAGCAGAGGGGATTTTTCAAACACAATATTATCTTTTCATCAGATTAGCACTTTTTTATTCGTGTCTATAGCGGGTCGGCTGCAAAATTGGTTGCGTTTGTGGTTAGCTTTAGGATAACACATTGGGTGTTATTGATAGGGTGAATTTTATAATATGGGTGTAATAAATGAGTCAAAACAGAACTTTATATGAAGTCGATGATTGTCTATACACTGCAAAAACGGAGGAAAAATATTTTAAAAAATTGCTCAAATTTGGCAAAAAGTATCTTAACTTGAGCACATTTCAACTGCCTTATTAAAACAAGATTTGCCAAAGACACAAAAGATACATGACGTGTCGCACACCAAAGTCAGAATTTACTCAAATCTACTCAATTCAAGCCATTATTACCCCAGCTTTTGTCATTTTATTTATCAGGTGTTTGTTTTATTGTGACACAGCTACATGTGATAATAAGTCGTTTTATATTTGAGTCCAAGAACAGAGGGTAGAAACCGCAGTGTGGTTTGCTGCTGTGTTTCACTAAGGACACGGCATAGATTGGCAGCCACATCTCCATCTCAGCCCCGAGGCAAGTGTGGCAGTAGTAGTGGATACGCGTCAAAAGATGAAGTTGTACAGTGTGACAAACTTTATAATCATATTGTGATATATGATGTATATATAAGTCCATGACACAACAGTCCACCACAACATCAGGGCCTTTTTTCTACCCAAACAACAACAAGGACAAATAAATCTGCTTAATGATGTAGTGTTCTGTGTTTGTATAAAAGCCTTTTATCTATAACAAGATGATAACGAGACTACCGTAAAATGTTCGCTCTCAATTCAAAATTCTCAAATCTTACTCATGCCTTTTACACACAGCAGACAGAATAAACAGAGGCGGATCAGATGTTCTGTGGAGATGTGTAGTTCATGCAAGGCAGCCCTGGAATTCACAGGAACTGGAGGTTTTTTGCCAAGAAGAACGGGCAGCTTTACCATCAGAGAGGATAAAGAACCTCGTCCACAACTACCACTAAAGTCTCCAAACTGTCATTGATGTTAAAGAAGACATGTACACTATTGAGAACGTCTAAAATTATACTTTCACACAACCTCGATCAATGAGTGAAAAGTTGTTGCATGTTGTTGAGTAAAAGTATATATCCTGACCTCCTCCTAATTCTCACTCAACGCTTCAGATGCTCTTGACTCTTGAGTATACAGAATGCAGAATCCATAAATGCATTTAAAACTGTCATTCCTGCCGGTAATAACTTTTATATATGTATGTGGCTGTTTTTTAAATCTTCTTTCACAGTTGACAGTTGTTTTCCTGTTAAGTTTTGGGTATTTTTGCATAAATATTCCACGGTGCGTTTTAAAACCCTCGAAATGTGATTTCAACGGGACTTTCCTGGTTAAATAACGGTTAAATAAAAAAAATAAAACTGCAAATGGCAAATAAAGTGAATCTGAGATCTTATCGTAGCAAAAACAGAAATATGAAAAACACAGTATTTACCTTCGTATCATTCATGTCGGTTTTTTACAGTTACATTATTTCCCCGTCTCACGCCAGTCGCACACAACACCGTGACATTAAAC